TTATCTGCGAGCCAGATGCAATCATCAAAAGAGCCACATATGGCTCTCGAGCCATAGGTTCCCGACCCCTGTCTGAGACTCTTATATGAAGTAGGGGAAAATGCCACCTTGCCCACAAATCATTTTGATCTATACACACTTGATATGTCTGCCTAACTTTTGAAAAAAATTACAACATTGCTTGTTTCCTCAATATGAAACCCAAAATGCTATAAAAATAATTGATTGTTTTTAAAAACCATTTGCAGATTTCACATCAACAGTAACAAATCACATTTGCTAAAGGTTCGTTCATAAAAGATAAACAGCTGACAAAAAAGTCTTTACAAACACAGTCATACACACACGTGTGCAGTACATTGGTTATAGTTTAATCATGTAAATACTGTTTATTTATACTGTAAAAGTCTACAATAGCAAAATGCTATTATTGAGACAAAGTCAGAGAAGTAGCTTTTTAAACTGGTAATAATACAATTCGCACCATTTATTAGCAAATATGATGATTCTCAGAATTATAATACTGGCAGGATTAGAAATTAAAAAATCATGGGAGGAAGGCACCTTCCCCCATGTAGGTGGTGTTAAGGTATTATTCCTCTCTGTTAGTTGGATTTGAAAGAAACAAAGAATGTAGAATGTTGTTGGAGGTATTTCCTGCTCACTGTGTTTACGATCACCTTTAGTGCACCTCGACCCCCACCACTTTTAGGGCCCCCCTCCATAGGACATGTTTAACATCAAAAGAGGAACTGTTATCTCAAGTATCTGTGTTCCTGCCATCACACCAAATGGTGGGGAGTGGTGGTCTGGTCTCACCTCACCACTCCCAACTTCTTCCAGCCACACTGGGTCAGATGACATGTTACTTTCTTTGTTTCCGGGATTCGCATGAGAGGCGTACCTCCCCGCCTCTCATTATCATATTGTCTCTATATAATCTCATGAATGTGTGTCTTTTACGCTTCCTGATTCAAATCTGGACCCCTCAGGAGCCCGAATCGATTCGTAAACTGCAGAAAAATAAATTAAACCCTTCGAAGTAACTGTTCATCGCCTCCAGCCTTTATTTGGATTACCAACATTCTCCTCGTCCGATATTCAACAAACATGCGGGGGAAGAGGAGGCCGCTCTTCCCCCAACAGTGGGGGACATTTTAAAGTTTCACATATTGAGGAAAAAAAATAATTTGGTCGTTTTTTTTATTCTAAGTAATCAATCACTCTTCACAAGACACTCATGTTAATATTTAAAACAAGTTCGTGTGTGCATCCTTTTGGAAAAAAAAAACAAGGCTAAATTTGTGTTTCCCTCTATTACATTGCCTCTATCTAGTGGTCAGGAAGGGAATTATGGACATAGGCGTCCAACACAAGGGGGCGTCTTGCCACCACCCGACCCCATTTGCTATTTATTAACTTCAATTAACATGAATACATTTTAATCAAATACATGTGAATGAAATCATTATTTTAGGTTGAGTACATCCATCCATCCAGTTCCTAATTATGCTGAAGCCTATCCCAGCTGTCTTCGGGCAGTAGGCGGGGTACACATCGAACTGGTTCCCAGCCAGTCGGAGGGCATAGATGAACCGTGCACACTCACAATCACACCTAGAGACAATTTTGAGTGCAATCAGCCTGCCATATGTGTTTTTGGAATGTGGGAGAAAACCGGAGTACCCGGAGAAAACCCAAGCAGGCACGGAGAGAACATGCAAACTCTACATCGGAAGGCCAGAGCCGGAATCGAACCCTGCACCTCTGCACTGTGAGGTGCACGTGCCAACAAGTCCAGCCCTATTTTAGGATAGTTGTTTTATATTCATAAAAGTGTTCAAGAACCAATGTGTGAATGTAATGTTAAGCTCGGTGTCGGACTGTACATTCATTTCAATAGGAAATATATTTCATTGCAATAGAACTTGCACAATTTCTGAACACATATACCTACGATGCTACTGTGTTGTAATTGCGGTCTTGATGGTGATAATTTAGAGCCAAGTTTTTTTTTGAGGGGGGCGGGGGGGTTGGTACTTGGTGTGACATGTATGACAACCACTGATCTAACACACAATTCCAAATTTTAAAGGCGGGTAAAAGAAAGCACTGTGACATCCAACTTCACGTGAGTGTCGAGAATGAGGTGGGGGGGTGGGGGGGGCGCAAAGATGAGCTCGTTCGTCGAGTGGGTGCTGGGAGAAGTGTGCCTGATTTGAAGGTAAAAGGCAGAGCCCTTGACCAACAGACACAAAGACAGATAAACAAATACTCGAGATGGTGTTTAACCATCACTCGTCGACCACGGCCGATCCAACCTAAGCATCGCCATCTGAAATGAGAGGTTTAAATGTTATGACGAGGCAGTGGGCGTGCTACTGTAGATAGTTCTGCAGATGGCAGTATTGTTTTAAATATAGTAGGAGGGTCATTCAATAAATGTGTGAATTTGTCGGGATCTTCTAATACAGGTTGAAGAAGCTTTTTTCCCCCAACGTCGTCTCCCAGCACTGTTCCACAATCGCTCGCTACGCTTTTGACTTCATAAAAAGTGTGTGACAGTGCTGGGAGACTACGTTGAAAAAAAATAACCTTCTATCTGTATTTGAAGTCCTTACACCGAAAAATGCACCTTATTAGTGAAGCACCCTCGTATTTGAAAACAATCCGTTTCATTGATGAAAACCCCATTTTGAACAATGTTTTCATTTGATCCGTTTTATCCAAATTACGTATTCATAATTGAAAACGTAAAATGCTGTGTTTTTGGCGTTTTAATGGGGACATACGACGTTAACTTCTTTAATGCAAACTGTTGAGTCTCTGGAGTGCCTGCACGCCATTCACGTGTCCAATTAAACGGCATCCATCCCTTTTCTATAGTGTTAGTCCGATAATGTAATGGGGAGCTCGAGCATATGCCAGTTGTCACTGGGTAAAATGTGGGGTGCACCCTGGGCCAGTTTCTAGACAATGACAGGGCAGAAATATAAACCTTGTAAAGTCTTTTGTTCGGGGCCATTTCCCCCAAGAATATATGCATAAGCACGACGTTCTAAAATACACCACAATTTGGCTAGTTTTCATAGCTCAGCCCAAGATTTGGAGCTAGGCTGGATGAAGATCCAACATTTTTGGGTGTCGGTCAGAATACAGGAAAGTCCTATCATGCCAATTTGACGAATTTGGATGAGATGGAAATCCCACAATTAGAGTGGTTTTAACCACAGTGTGACAAGTGGATTTTAAGTGTGTTGTCATCTTTTTGTTCATGAAACTCTTTCAGGTACAACCATGGGGTATAGTATTGTATATTATGAAAAAGAACTAGGGCGGCCCGGTAGTCCAGTGGTTAGCACGTCGACTTCACAGTGCAGAGGTACCAGGTTCAATTCCAGCTCCGGCCTCCCTGTGTGGAGTTTGCATGTTCTCCCCGGGCCAGCGTGGGTTTTCTCCGGGTACTCCGGTTTCCTCCCACATTCCAAAAACATGCATGGTAGGCTGATTGAACACTCTAAGTTGCCCCTCGGTGTGAATGTGAGCGTGGATGGTTGTTCGTCTCTGTGTGCCCTGCGATTGGCTGGCAACCGATTCAGGGTGTCCCCCGCCTACTGCCCGAAGACAGCTGGGATAGGCTCCAGCACCCCCCGCGACCCTAGTGGGGATCGAGCGGTTCGGAAGATGAATGAATGAATGAATGAATGAAAAAGAACTGTCACCTAAAACAGTGTTTTTCAAACCCTGTTTGGTGTGCCACGGGATATTGTCAGGTGTGCGATGGGAAATGATGTATGCCTGTGTGGTCTATCGCCTGGCAGAGTAATCGTGTAGTATTCTTCCATACTGGTAGGTAGCAGTTGCAGCTAGCTAATTGCCTTATGCTTCGAGACAAGCGAAGTTTCCGGCATGAGGGAATACAACGAAAGCTATCTTTCGTTTAAATTTACTTTTACCGGAGATGCAACGGCACCGACTCCGTTGTGCTTGGTATGTGGTGAAACAGCACTAATGTCTCAAGTAAGCTTAAACTCTACTTATAATTCTACTCATTCTTGCTTGGCTCTCGACGAAGGCGGAAGCTTTTGCTTCTGCTCCTGTCCCACCCCCCCACCGTTCCCTGCTCGCCACTCAGTCCATGTGCTGTCTTTGTCTGACTTTTCCTAGCCTCCTGTCGTATTTTTCATCCTAAAAACAAACATGGAATTGGTTGGCTGGTCTCTCGATGCCATCAACAAAATTTTCTCGACGAGAAGAGCAGGCAGTGGGGAGACTACTTGCCCCTTGGGGACTTTTGCTGCTGGGTACACCCTAGATACTTGGAGGAAGCGGAGAATGGTGTGCCTGTCAATACCGTCCGTTGAGGAGGAGGAAGACATCTACATTATCGGACTTTCTGATAGCAGGTATGCTGCTGTTTGGTGCTATCAGTTTTTTCCTGACCTATTGTAAAATTCAACCGACGGGAGCGGCTTTATTGGAAGTGAAGAAGCTGCCGATCTTTTTTTTGTTGGGGACGGCACGGCGCGGATGTACAACACTCAGACTCAAGCGATGACTGAGCTCAACCGCAAAATGGATGCAGTTTTGGAGCGTCTCTGCATGATGGTTTTCAACTTGAGAAGTTGAAGCTGTGCTTTGGAAAGTAATTGCGGATTTGGCTGATCGACGCCAGTGAAGGGATACAGCCACGGACTCAAGGCCACCTGAAATTGTTGGCAGCTGTCCCCAAACAACGCTATTTGGACCCCTTTCCCCTGGATGGAAGGTATGCACGGAAGCTAGTGCCCCCACCATCACACCCTCCTTCTCGGCCATGGACTGATAAGCCAGGACTGTCTTCATGAGCAGACCTTGACGGAGCAGCTGCGGCCTGTTCACCCATACACAACCAGACAATCACACACGCATACACATCCTTATCATCACCGTCTTCATCGTTCCTATTCTTTTCCCCCGCGACGTGGAATGATCTGCGGAGCGCTCGGTGGACCGTGCAGCTGGTCAGACGGGCCGCGTCGCGGTCGACCCTCCCTCCTCCCCCTCCCCTTTCCCATTCATCCGCCCCCCTCATTACATGTTATGTCTTGTGACTTGTTGTAACTGTCATATGCTTATTTATGTGCTAGGGCAGTGGTGTCAAACATACGGCCCGCGGGCCGAATCCGGCCCGCAAAGAAGTTTAATCCGGCCCGCAAGATGATTATGTAAAGTAGTGTTGTCAAACATACAACCCGCGGGCCGGAACCGGCCCACAAGGAGGTTCAATCAGGCCCGCAGGATAATTTAAAAGTGAAAAAAATGCATTAAAGACACAGAATTAATATTTTTAATAAGGTGCAATTCATTGAGTATCCGCAAGGGGACACTGTTTTGATCAGAGAAGAAGACAACAGAGCCTCAGTCCGTCACTGAGACAGACGCATGACAGCAGACGCTTTCAATAGCACTCTCACATTTACACATTTAATAGCACTCTCCTTAGTTTGTAAGGTGTAGGCAGGGATTACCTTTAGATTTTATATGCATGTGTAAATGGTTTAAAACTTCCTTTCTTCATAAATCTTGTTTAATCTTAAAGTGCATTACTGTATTTTTCAATACCAATTACTTGTTAAAGTTTGTACAATCAGTGGGATCAGTTGCAATGCATATATGTGAATGATAAAAGTAAATTGCACATTTGTCGAAGGAAATGTAAGGTGGTTCATGAAATATTTTGTAAAAGATATGTTCATTAAATTTCAACATTTTCCTAATGTTCTTGTGCTTCTTTATACCAAAACAAAGGAAAGACATATTGTTTTGGTTATTTATAGCAAAGTATGGTATCATTTTAATGGTCCGGCCCACTTGACATCTACCGAGGCCGTATGTGGCCCACCATGTGAAATGAGTTTGACACCCCTGTGCTAGGGTCTTTTTTTATCCTGGACTTAAATTATCCTCAGAAGAGGATCGTTCAAGCGTGTTTTTTTTCCCTCTCCCGACCTAGTGGTTTCCTTTCTGAACTCAGACTGTAAATTTCCCCATTGCGGGACAAATAAAGGATATCTTATCTTATAATGTAGTGTTATTTTTCAATGTTAAAAAAATGCTTATAAATAACAATATAACACTTAATTGTTAACATAAGCTTTTTTCACATTTTCAGCTCGTGGTGTGCCGTGGGATTTTGTCAATGAAAGAAATGTGCCTTGGCTTGAAAAAGATTGAAAAACTCTAACCTTGATTTAATCAAGGTTAGTGTTGTTTACATGACATCTTCTAGGTACTAGAAGATGTCATGTAAACAAACAAGGGGTTTATTTATTTGTTTATTTATTTATTATTTTATAGTGTTCATGCAGCCTTTTATGTCAACATGGATAATAATTATGTACCGGTAATTTCAATAGAGAGGTTTGAAAGTTCTCTCTCCAAAATGTGATTGTAATGTAAACTAATTCCAATTTTAGTGGAATGTAAATCCAAACAACTGTGAATCATATACAGTACTGTACATGCCTTCAAAATACCTTCAAGAGCAAATTGCAACGGATTAATTCCTAAAAAAATAGCTGAGCACCATATTTGTGTTTGTTGGTTAGCAATTATTATTATTATTATTATTATTATTATTATTACTAATGAGAATTTTGCTTTTTTAGTATCCATCATGCCAATGTCGTGTAAACAAACAGTAAGTCATTTTTATTGCTTTCGTAGCCTCATATTTCAGCTGTCCAATGTTTTTGTCAGCCTGACTGAGCAATTTCTTTTGCATGTTCAACCTTCAAAATGTTGATGTCACAGTATTAGTCTTTGTGATTGTTGGGCTCTAATCTGAATAAACTATGTTTACTGACTGCCATCTCTGGGTCAGAAGGGCAATAACTTCCATCCATCCACACATCCATTTTCTAGTCCGCTTATCCTCACAAGGGTCGTGAGCGTGCTGGAGCCTATCCCAGCTGTCTTTGGTTCATAGGCGGGGTACACCCTGAACTGGTTGCCAGCTAATCTTAGGGCACACATAGACAAACAACCATCCATGCTCTCACTCACAATTATGGACAATTTAGAGTCTTCCATGAGCCTGTCATGCATGATTTTGGAATGTGGGAGGAAACTGGAATAGCCTGAGAAAGCCCATGCACGCATGTGGAGAACATGCAAACTCCACATAGGAAGGCCTGTGCTTTAAGGCCGACGTGCTACCCAGTCGACCCCCTTGCCCCCCCCCCCCCTCCACCCCCCAATCACTTATATAATTCAAAATACCGCATGGTAATAAAACAGGCCACAACAACCTAATGAGATCCAATAATGCTTTGGACTAATATTGTATTACAGTCAAACCTCGGTTTTCGTCCATCATCCGTTCCAGAAGGCTGTTCGAAATCCGAAATTGTTCGAAAGCCGAAACCACGCTCTTTTTAAAATAATTTAAAAATTATTTAGTTTATTGAACACGTCTACTCACAATGGAAAGCAACACGAGGAAACGTCACTTCCTCGTCTACCCAACAAAGCGTCACTTCCTCGTGTAAGGAAGGCGAGAGGAGTCAAATGGTGCATTCAAGTGCGCTCAGTTTGTTCGAAAACCGAAATTTGTTCGTCATCCGAGGCATAAAAAACCGAATTGGTCGAGAACCGAGACATTCGAAAACCGAGGTTTGACTGTATTACCAGTCTTAGTAAGAGGTGTGTTGTTGTAAAGCCAGTCAATATTGAAGTCGTAATTTGCAATGCATTATGAGGAGATTCTGTTGCTCATTTTTGGACTATTTTCATCACGCTAAATAGGTAAGCAATACATTAAAAACAACTGTCTGTTCACTACAAGCACAATCGTAAACATTTTATCAAATGCAAAATCTCCCACTCAAATCATTTTTGCAGAGGATTTACCGAACGATATGTCCAGTGAGTAGCAATCCTTCAACTCACTTCCCACTCACTGACATGTTAGTGTTAATCAAATTGAACTGAATTTATATAATTGCTGCTTACCTTAATATCCATTGGGGGACATGTCTCGCTTGAATATGTCCAGTATTAACATTGTAATAGTTGTCGGTCAGTGGGTTGGATGCTCACTATCAATCATGTGACAGCCAGCCTGACCATACTATGATGTAATCCCGATGAGGTCATCGAAGGCTGAATAACTGAAGTCATAAAGGCTTATGTCTAGTCAATGAAGGCACCATGTGTATTCATTGAAGGCTGTGTTTTGGGTTTTAAAAGCTCACACCCAATCATGAAGGCTTATGTTTACAAACCACCATCCACACACAAAATTGTCATCCACACACAAAATTGTCAAGTTTGTCGCCATGAAAGTTCAGAAATAATGACCTTAATAAGGCAGGATAATAGATTTTATTTCATATACTTTGAGACAAGGAAATGGACTCAGACAACAACTCAACAGAAACTAATGAAAATTCACGTTCACCTTTCTCTGGGTTAGTAGATGGCCTGAACAATAATGACAGTGAGCAGCAAATAGAAAACAAGTCTTCGGAAGGGAAAGATGACTCATTTCGTAATGATCAGGCACAGGAAGCTGCAAAGTATGGAAGTCGTCCTGAAGCAGGCACTCCCAAATTCGTGGATTCCCATGAGGACATGCATGGTGTAATCAAAAGTCGAGGGTCAGGTTATGTAGAGGATGATGGTGTCACATCAGATGAAAAAGTGGACTATGTTGTGCTAGCTTCCCCTCTTGAGGGGCAAATGTGCACCGGTGATCAAGAAGATCAGAGTGTCCGAAGAGAATCAACCCCAAAAAACTCAGAACATCAGAGCAGCTCTACAACCTCATCCCCTGCCTCAATATGCTTGGATGATGAAGTCCAGGCTGCAATAAAGACAGCCTCCAAAACCATCTATGAGGGCTTTGTTCATTACGTTGATCCTTCACACGATGTACACATGGCATCAAAATCCTTAAGACCATCACCCCAAGATGAGCAGAACAGAGATATGTCACCAGCCATCCCTTGTCAGGAATTATGTCCTGAGGATAGTGATTTAGAACTACCAGCCGGTGTATCGTCAAACTCATCCCAAGAGGAACAAAATGGAGGACAGCCTTCTGTCTCCAATGACCTGACTTTAAAGCCACAAACCCCAGGAAATGGAAGCAACCCTACCTCCGTATGTTCCAGTGACAGCCCGGGTAATATAAAACCACCCTGCAGCCCCATTGTTCAAGAATTTGATCACGATAAGATTGTCACACCAGAAGAAAAGGTGGCAGAGGATCAGGTCGGCGAAGCGGCACCACCCTTGAACTTTCCTTATCAGGAGTCAGATTCTATGGAAGTTAAAAGTGCTTTAGATGAGCATAAGCCATCAAAAACCTTGAGTCCATCACCACGAGAGGAGCAGCATCAGGAAACAACACCACCCGCAACCTCTGCTTGTCAAGAGTTGGATTTTGTGGAGTTTGATAGTGATGTGAATGAAGAGAAACTATTAAAGTCATTGATTCTCTCACTAAGAGAGGAGCAGCATGGGGATGTCATCACATCTAACTCTACTGGTCATGGGTTTGATTCTCTCGATGTTGACAATAATGTGGATGAAGAAAAACAATCTGAATCCTGGAACATATCACCAACAGAGGAGCAAAATGGGGAGAAAACTCCACCCCAAATTTTTCCTAGTCAACAGTCTAATCCCGCAGCAGTTGATGGTGATGTGGAAGAGGAAAAACGATCAAAATCCTTAAGTCTGTCACCATCAGAGAGGTATGGAGATGCAACACCACCCTCCATCTCCACTGGTCAGGGCTTTGATACTCTGGATGTTGACAGTGATGTGGATGAAATAAAACGATCAAAATCCTTGAGTCTTTCACCAAGAGATCAGCAGAATAGGGATGCAACACCACCCTCGATCTCCACTGGTCAGGGGTTTGATACTCTGGATGTTGACAGTGATGTGGATGAAGTAAAATTGTCAAAATCCTCGAGTCTATCACCAAGAGATGAGCAGTATGGTGATGCAACACCTCCCTCAAGATCTTCTTTCCGGTTATCTGATCCTCTGAACGGTTACAGTGATCTGAATGAAGAGAGACGATCAAAATCTTTGAGTCTATCACCAAAGGATGAGCACCGTAGGGATGCAAAACCACCCTCAAGATCTTCTGGTCGGGGATCTGATCCTCTGAATGTTTCCAGTGATGTAGATGAAAAGAAACGATCAAAATCTTTGAGCCTCTCACCAAGAGATGAGCAGTATAGGATTGCAACACCGCCCTCAAGATCTTCTTGTCAGGGATCTGATCCTCTGAATGGCTACAGTGATGTGGAAGAAGAGAGACAATCAAAATCTTTGAGTCTATCACCAAGAGATGAGCACTATGGAGATGCAACATCTCCCTCAAGATCTTCTTGCCGTGTATCTGATCCTCTGAATGGTTACAGTGATGTGAATGAAGAGAAACGATCAAAATCCTTGAGTCTATCACCAAAAGATGAGGAGTATAGGGATGCAACACCACCTTCAAGATCTTCTTGTCAGGGATCCGATCCTCTGAATGTTTTCAGTGATGTGGATGAAGAGAGACGATCAAAATCCTTGAGTCCATCACCAAGAGATGAGCAGTATAGGGATGCAACACCGCCCTCAAGATCTTCTTGTCAGGGATCTGATCCTCTGAATGTTTCCAGTGATGTAGATGAAAAGAAACGATCAAAATCTTTGAGCCTCTCACCAAGAGATGAGCAGTATAGGATTGCAACACCGCCCTCAAGATCTTCTTGTCAGGGATCTGATCCTCTGAATGTTTCCAGTGATGTAGATGAAAAGAAACGATCAAAATCTTTGAATCTATCACCAAGAGATGAGCAGTATAGGGATGCAACACCGCCCTCAAGATCTTCTTGTCAGGGATCTGATCCTCTGAATGGCTACAGTGATGTGGAAGAAGAGAAACGATCAAAATCCTTGAGTCTATCACCAAAAGATGAACAGCATAGGGATGCAATGCCACCTTCAAGATCTTCTTGTCAGGGATACGATCCTCTGAATGTTTTCAGTGATGTGGATGAAGAGAGACAATCAAAATCCTTGAGTCTATCACCAAGAGATGAGCAGGATAGGGATGCAACACCACCCTCAAGATCTTCTTGTCGGGGATCTGATCCTCTTAATGTTTCCAGTGATGTAGATGAAAAGAAACGATCAAAATCTTTGAGTCTATCACCAAGAGATGAGCAGTATAGGATTACAACACCACCCTCAAGATCTTCTTGTCAGGGATCTGATCCTCTGAATGGTTACAGTGATGTCGAAGAGGAGAAACGATCAAAATCCTTGAGTTCATCACCAAGAGATGAGCAGTATAGGGATGCAACACCACCTTCAAGATCTTCATGTCGTGGATCTTATCCTCTGAATGTGGATGAAGGGAAACGATCAAAATCGTTGAGTCTATCACCAAGAGATGAGCTCTGTAGGGATGCAAAGCCACCCTCAAGATCTTCCAGTCGGCGATCTTGTCCTTTGAATGGTTACAGTGATGAGGATGAAGAGAAAGCATCTAAATCCTTGAGTCTGTCACCTAGCCATGAACAATATAGTGATGCAACACCACCGTCTACCTTTGCTGGTCAGCAGTTGGAACCTTTGGAGGTTGTCAGTGGTGTGGATGAAGAGAAACCATCACAATCCTTTAGTCTATCACCAAGTCTATCTACAGGTCATGGTCATCTGGATGTTGATAGTGACTTAGTTGGAGATAAAATATCAAGGTCACTGAGTCCATCAATATTAAGGGGGCAGAAAGGGGATGGAACTCCACCCCTGACTTCAACTCAGGGGATAGCTCTTGTGGAGGTTGATAGTGACTTGGAGCAGAAAAAAACATCCAAATCATTGAGCCCTTCACAACTAGAGGATCAGAAAAGGGGTGAAACTCCACCAGAGTTAGATTTTCTGGAGGTTGATGCTGAACAGGAACTTGAGATTATGGTGTCAAAGTCCTTGAGCTCATCACCACGAGAGGAGAACAGCAGTGGAAGATCTCCTAAAAGAGATCTGGTTTTCTACAAAGATTCAACACTTGAATCCAAAGAAAATGGAAGCCACTCTTCAGTATGTTCCAAAGATGGTATCCAGTATGCTGATAAACCAGACTCAAGTTCCCTTTGTCAAGAATTTGTTTCAGTGGGTGATAATGATGATGGGGGTGTCATATTAAGAGAAAGGGTGTCATCAAAATCCTCCACAAGATCATCTCCAAATGGGGAGCAGAACGAAGACTTGTGCACACTCGTAGAAGACCACCACAAGGATTCAACTCCAGAACACTTAAAGCCTAAGAGTGGCTCTCAAGCCTCATCCCCCACTTTAGTATGCTTGGATGTTGACATCCAGGCTGCCCCAACTTACACCTGTGAGGCCTCTGTTCATCAACTGAACATCACATCAAATGAAGACATGGCATCCAAATTGAGCCCATCTCCTTCAAAAGAGCAGTATGCAGGAGTTATACCTGGTCCAACCACCACGTGTGAAGAGTTCCGGATAGAAAACACCATCAAAACCAGTCCACATGATGAGACGCTTTCACTACAAGAACTGTCACAAAACACAAGTTCTGTATCACCCAGTTGCACCCAAGCACTCATCACGGAGGCTACCGATAGATCCACTTATCAAGAGGTGCACGTGGATGATGATAGCGTTCTCAAACACCAAACAGAAGAGCCATCAAAGCCATTGAAACATTCACTGCCAGAGGTTACAACATCAGTGCCACAAATTCTGGAAAAGTACTTCAGTGATGCAATGAAAGCGTGCTCCAACACCATATTTCAGGCCCTATTGAATCAAGTAGTGGACTACTCGGATGCGATGAAAGAAGGCAGGGTGTCAATACACGGGGAAGACCTTGCACAATCTAAAACTCATGTTATAACTCCAGTAGAGCAAGAAGGGGACTCACCTGCAAAACTTTTAGGACATGAGAGTTGCCACCAACCAACCACCACAGACATTCTTGGTGAGTACTTCTCTCTGCTGCACTACAAACATGCTCCACCACTATATTTGAAGCTTTGATTAGTCATGTTAGATCAGGGGTGGGCAATTATTTTCCCGGGGGGGCCAAATGAAAAGCAGAAAATATTGTGGAGGGCCGGACCAAAAGTTAGAAATCTACTCCCGATTTCAGTTTTATTTCTACGTTGAAATAAGTTAATGACATTGTTAACAGAAGCTGATAAGAGTATGTATTATTGCTAGACAATGAAAGTGCAGTTATTTTACAGAAAAAGCATTAAAGTATTGCCATACTTTTTTTTGTTCATGAGAACAGTGAAACAACTGGTATATGTCCTGGACAACATACATGTGTGACAACACAAGCAACAAAGTGCAACAATATATTTCCCAAAAAACTGCAGCATACAGTACAGGTACATGACAAAATATAACAAAGCTAGGACTATTTGCTGCAAAATGAGACGAGTAAAAGACCTGGTGGCTTTCTTTCCACTCACTCACTGTCCCGAACTTGACCTCCACTCGATCACCACACAAGACAGCGTTGCTCAGCTGATGTCGTGCAACGAACTTTTGAAGCCAGCCAC